GACCCACGATTCGTACCTTACAACTTGCGAGTCAGAGGTCTCAGTGTGAGCGTGGGCACTGGCTGATATCTCGCTCGGTATCAGCCCAATTTTTTTTCCTCAAAGTCCAAAAGACATAGTGCACAAGCCATCAGCGCTGCGATGGCGTAGAGTCCATTCACAGGTTGCATCAATGGAACAGACCAAGTCTGAACCTGCGGTTCTTCTCGTACTTAGCAGGATTCGGTGTCATGCGCGCCGCACGCTTTTGAAAAAAAAAAATTCTAAGTCCAAAAGATGTACGCGCCTTTTGAAAAAAAAAATAATTTTTTTTTTTTTTCCGCAAGTCCAAACGACATAGTGCATAACCAAGTCTGAACCTGCGGTTCCTCTCGTACTGAGCAGGGCAGGATTACCGTAGCAACGACTTGTCATCAGTAGGGTAAAACTATAAGTGTTGGCCAGCCAAGCCAGTATGCCAATGTATAATGTGACCGTTGTGTTTTCTTTTTTTCCTCAAAGTCAGAAAGACATAGTGCATGAACAGAAAGAGTGTCATGCGCGCCTTTCGAAAAAAAAAAATACATTTCTAAGTCCAAACGACATAGCGTATAAATTATTAAACAAAGTGCATGAACAGAAACACGTAGCGTATAGTCTCATGCGCGCGCCCGCCATTTATTTTTTTTTGAAAGCCATAGTGCATATACATTTCAAAATTGAAGACATAGTGCACGACATCCATCCTCGCGCGTTTTCAATACCGCCAATTATACAGTTATCTAATTAACTCACTTCTATGTGTTGTCGTCTGTTTTCCTCCAAACTACATAACCCTTAACTCACCCAGACTCCTACCTACCCACCCATCCACCGCACAAGCGAAATAATATATGTCTTTGGAGAGAACCTCCGAGAAAACATGATTTTCAAAAAATGCGCAATATATATATTTAACGATAACTTGAAGCCGAAAGATACTACTATGAAGAGCTTTTTGTTTTCATAGTTGTACGTTTTTTTTTTTTTTTTTTTTTTTTTTTTTAATTCAATTCTGATCCAAGCTACACATATTTACACACCACCCGAACGAAATACATTTTTCATTTCATAAGTCTTTGTTTGGAGAACTCCTAAGAAAACATGCATCTTGACTTGTGTACATTTACCTTCCAAATATCCTCCAAACTACATAACCCTTAACTCACCCAGACTCCTACCTACCCACCCATCCACCGCACAAGCGAAATAATATATGTCTTTGGAGAGAGAACCTCTGAGAAAACATGATTTTCAAAAAATGCGCAATAGTTTTCTTTTACACACACACATATATATATATATATATATATATATATATATATATATATATATATATATATATATATATATATATATATATATATATATATATATATATATATATATATATATATATATATATATATATATATATATATATATATATATTTAACGATAACATAAAGACGAAAGATACTACTATGAAGAGCTACCCTCCCGGGCTTCAGTAATATAAATTTCAAGCCATTTAAAACATTCAATATCCTTGCATGTTTAGGAAATAAAACCATTACAAGACTATTTCATCTAGAAAGATTCACATATATATATATATATATATATATATATATATATATATATATATATATATATATATATATACATACATATATATATATATAAGAATGTACTTCAGTTAAACCGAAATTAACGAGTATGCTCCAAATAATTGGAGGGCAAGTCTGGTACCTCAAAATTTAAACTACTGTTAAGGGAGGTTATAAATGTGTTTTAACTAAATCTATTGGATTGATTTTTTTTTCTCGTTAGTCTCCCCTTTAAGTGTCTGCGCATTTTTTTTTCACTTCATAAGTCTTCGGAGAACTTCCAAGAAAACATTTGTGTACATTTACATTTATTTTTAAAGAACAATAAACAATGCGCAAGCAAGCAAGCAAGCAAGCAAGCAAGCAAGCAAGCAAGCAAGCAAGCAAGCAAGCAAGCAAGCAAGCAAGCAAGCAAGCAAGCAAGCAAGCAAGCGCACACGCGCACGCACACATAACGCACACACACGCACGCACGCACGCACGCTCTATTTATTTATTAAATATTTATTTATTTATTTACTTATTTATTTATTTATTTATTTTTAATACGAGCTTTTTAACTGCAACAACTTTAATATTCGCTATTGGAGCTGGAATTACCTACCGCGGCTGCTGGCACCTGAGATGAACTCCTATTGCAAAATCAGAGCAGGAAGGACTAGTCCTCCCGTAATGCTCTGGCATGAAACTTAGCCGTTCGGTGTAGTGCCTCATAGCTACCATACAAGTCGAGTGACATCGAAGAAGCATAATATTAGCATAGATTAGAATAGTATATATATATATATATACAATATATATAACATAGCGCATAATAGCATTAGAGCATAGCATATATTGCGTCTATAGTAGGGCATTATCATTAGCATTAGGATTGGCGTAGCGTAGCATAGCATAGCATAGCATAGCATAGCATAGCAAAGCATAGCATAGCAAAGCATAGCAAAGCATAGCATAGTATAGTATAGTATAGTATAGTATAGTATAGTATAGTATAGTATAGTATAGTATAGCATAGTATAGCATTAGGGTTACCATTAGCAATGGCATTAGAATTAGCATTAGAATTAGCTTTAGCATTAGCTTAGCTTAGCATAGCTTGGAATGGCATGGCATGGCATGGCATGGCATAGCATAGCATAGCATAGCATAGCATAGCATAGCATAGCATAGCATAGCATAGCATAGCATAGCATAGTACTGTGCAGTGTCGTACAGTATAGAATAAAACATAATAGCATACAAAAGCATAGCAAATAACAAAATAGCATACAATAGCATAGAGTAGAATAGAATAGCGTTTTTAGCTTTACCTTTACCACACTATAGCATAGCATAGCATACCAATACCACAGCATGAAACAGCATGTCATAATAGTTATATTAAATTTCCAGAATGAGCATCACATAGGCTAGTTTTTTAAATATATAATGTGAAGGTTAGGGTTAGGGCTTAATTTCATTGTACCTAGCAATTTTAAAAACGCTAGTGCAGACACACACAGACATACAAACACTGTCTTCTTTAATGCATTAGATTCTACGCTAGTAATGCCATCAATTCTGGTACTAAAGTACCCCAATGGAAAATATTCTAGGCCCTAGGCCTGACCAAACCTTAAGTATAGGCTGGGGAAAAAAAAAAAAAAAAAAAAAGCATAACCCTAAACCTAAGCATAATGCTGACAAACCCAAAGCTTAAGCTGAAACAACAGAGGGCATATCAACCTGACCCTAATCCTTGGCCGATGCCCTAGGCTGGCCGCATACCTAGACCGAACCCCTAAGTATAGGCCCAAGAATAGGCTGAAGAAACACTAGACATAGGCCTCAACCTAAGCATAATACAGACATACCCTAAGCATAAGCTAAAACAAAAGAGGGCATATCAACCTTGGCTGAGCCCCAGGCTGGCTGCCCCTATATTGAACCCTAAGTAAAGGCCGAACAAACCCTAATCATACGCCTAAACCTAAGCATAATACAGACATACCCTAAATACCCTAAGCATAAGATGAAACAACAGAGGGCATATCAACCTAACCTTGGCCGAGCCCTAGGCTGGCCATGCCTAGGCTGAACCCTAAGTATAGACCAAACAAACCCTAAGCATAATACACAAAAAAAACAACAAAAAAAACAACCTAAGCATGAGCTGAAAGTAACGGAGAACCTAACAACCTAATCCTAACGCTAAGGATAAGCCTTACCCCCTAACCCTAAGCATAAGGGAAACCCTAAACCTTACTTTCTCATGCTAATAGTATTGCTAGTATAAACATAATAAAACATGCAGTATAAATTAATCTTTCCATTTTGCTTAAAAGGCTTAAAAGGCACAGGCTGTTGAACAAACGGTGGGTCACCAGGCTTATAGTACCCACTGCCATTTATGTCCTTGTCCCGATATCATTTGCCTGGGGCAGGAGTCGAACCTGCAACATTTGTTCAGACAGCACTCTATTCTACTCTACTCTACTCTACTCTACTCTACTCTACTCTACTCTACTCTACTCTACACATGGTGTGGTGTGGTGTGGTGCCTTTTTTAAAATGTACACTTTTCAAGTTTGTTAATATTTCAACAACAGCAATTTATTAACTATGCAATAAAAAAAGAATTAGAAATGACAAGATTTATTAATTTGCTATTATTAGATCACTAGATCTAGACTCTACTTAACTCTACTATAATAGATCTAGATCTAATTCAATTTCTAGACTAGAAATTATTGAGTTATTGAGTTACTTCTTTTGACTAGATCTAGATTTACTCGATTTAACTAGAAGTCTAGATCTAGCTCATGTTGTTGTAGCTAGCTAGCCTGCAGCCTGGCACGGCACTGCACTGCAGAGGATGGAGATATAATAGATCTAATCTAGACATTGAAATAATTGAAATAATTAAATCATCTATCTCAGTTGGATGAAAAGAAAAAAATGACTGAAATATTATATTAGATACCCTCCAGGGGTGTCCCTGGGTCCTCCTGTCATTTTATAATAATGATAATAATAATAAATTATATAGATTTACAACAACTTAATAATAATTGTTGGAATCATGAACATGTGGACTAGATTAGATCTACAATTCTAGATCTACATAACAAGTGTCACAAGTCTACTGTAACTGTACATTAGTATTTATTATAGATCCAACCCTATATAGCATATAATAATATAATCCTACTACTTCTACTACTGACTAGTCTAGATTGGAA